CACAAATGGAGGCCATCGAGAAGAGGGAAGTGTTAGCAGCGGTACGAAAAATGAACACACCATAGCAGGCCAGAAAGCGGTAGAAAACAATCCACATGTTGGTGGGGTACCTGAAAAAGCAGCTGGTGATATTACTGGTAATCCTGATTCTGCACGTGGAGAGACTGGAGTTGCTGCTGTTGATGTTGAAACTACTTCTCCAACACGTGAGACTGGTCCACGTACAACTGAAAATATTAATCCCCAGATTGAAGGAGGAGAAGCGTTGGGCCCTAAGGCACAGAATGAGGATGACTCTTTAGCTGCTGGTCACGGGAATGAGAGACACTTAACTGCAGAGGGACAAGATGAGAAATTGGAAACCCCACCACAAGGAAGGGATGATAGGAGTACAGGGAGAACTACAACATCTTCTACCAATGAAGTGAGCAGTACAGGAACTGCGGACAATAACGGGAATCAACACACAGAAGAAGGAGATAATGGTGTTCAGTCTANCAGCAGCAGCAGTATCAGCAGTTCTGTGTGGGTGCGTGTACCACTACTGATTGTGGTTACACTGGCCTGTATTCTTGTATGCTGATTGTAATGGTGGTGGTGTGGTGTGACTCAGGTCATCCTTTGTTTTCTTTTCTTTTTGCATGCATCCACACTAAAGTCTAACTAATCTTCCACCTGTTGGAATTATCTTTTCTTGTTTTTGTTTCTTAATGTTCATGTGTTTTGTGTGTTTTTGCTCTCTATGTGTTTATCCTATAATAATTATTATTGCTACTCCATTGTGTGTGTGTGTTCTTGGAGACTCTCTCCGTGTGCACCTGGGCTTGCACTGTAATAATGATGATGAAATGTTTTTCGCAGTTGGAAAAATAAAATAATAATAACAGATGAATTTATATTTATAATTGCGTATATATGCACATATAGACTTACACCCATAGTTGGTGTATTTCAGTGTTTACTGGGTAAATTGGGCTAATGGTTAATATCTTTTTGTTTGCTTG